GAACCCACGGGACCTGCAGCTCTTCCTATCCCTCCGCGGACGCGAGTACGGGATGTTTCTGGACGCGAGCGGGACAGTGGCGGGCCTCCAATGGCGACGGAAGAACTTGCGCCCGTCGCCCCTAAAACCCTTCCACGTTCCCGCTCGGCGGGTGGGCCGCCGACCGTCCGGGACGGCCCGGCTACCCGTACTCGCTCGAAATCCCTCACGTTTCGTTAGATTGTGTTGTGTTGTGTTATTGTTATAATGTTCTTCAATGCTTCGTGTCTTTTTGCGTGTTGGCCCTTTACACCCGCATTGCTTTTCAGGTTGCAATTCAGCCGAGGTCGGCTGGATTTTCTTTAGGGGGGAGGGTGATGTAATGCGGTTGTAAACGGCCCTTCTGAGGTGCCGTCAGGGGGGGAGGAGTTAGGTCACGTGGGGGGAGAGGGGTTGAGTATAGAAGGAGGGGAACCGGAAGAGCAGGGGGAGTGACGGGGAACCAGGAACAGAGGAAGGCCACGAAGGGCGAAGCGGGGTGTGGCGAGATCGCCACGAACACGGGGGGAGCGAGGATCGGCACCGTTGGCCAGCGGTGACCGACCCGAAGCAGCGAGGAGGCTGCAGTCAGCAGCGGGGCTGCACAGAGAGAGTGGGCAGCGGGTCTGCATACAGTGACAGCCAGAGGGTCTGCACATAGGGGTAGCAGCAAGTCTGCAGGGAGGAGGTTACAGTAGATGAAGCAGAGAGTCAGAGGGGTGAGGAAGCTATAATAGCAGTGAATAGCCGGGGGCTACAAATACAGGAGTTATAACAGAGTGCCGTGTGGGTAAAGACGTGAACCTGAATAAAGACACGAAGACAGAAAGAAGTGTTCGAGTCCTTTTATTACACATTGCTGCAGACACACACGACTTTCAGGGTGCATACGGCAGTAAACGACTGAAATAATAAAGCGGCAATGCTGTGTAAGGAACGCCTTAGACCCGCATTATACATTTGTGTAATGCGAGCGTAAACACACAAACACACACAAACACATACACAATACACACACACATACATGCAGACACACAGACAGACACATAACACACATACATACACACACATACAAACACAGAAACACATACACACACATACATAGACACACACATACATACACACAAACACATCCACAGACGTACATACACACATACATACAGGCACGCAGACATACACATAAACACATACAAAAAAACCCACATACATACACACACACATACATACACACAAACACATGCACACACATACATACACACATGCATACAGACACACAGACATACACATAAACACATACACACATACACATGACCCGGCTTCGCCCGGGACTTGGATCCACCACGGCGGCAAAACCGACATACATACACACACAGACATACACACAAACACATACACACACATACATACACACATGCATACAGACACACAGACATACACATAAACACATACACATGACCCGGCTTCGCCCGGGACTTGGATCCACCACGGCGGCAAAACCGACATACATACACACACAGACATACACACAAACACATACACACACATACATACACACATGCATACAGACACACAGACATACACATAAACACATACACATGACCCGGCTTCGCCCGGGACTTGGATCTACCACGCCCAGCCGCCTTTGTCTCCCAAGTGCCGATGTTAATACGCCACACCAGTTACTCGTTTGAGGCTGAGTGGACCTAGGGGAGGTTCAAATAATCGTCACCGGTGGTGGCCGTGAGCGGGAATGGAACTGGGTTCGCCGGGTTGGTAGCGCAGCGTAGCGTTAAGCACTACACCCACCGCTCCTCACACACCACACACGCACAGACACACACACAGACACACGCAGACACACACAGACAGACACAGACAGACACACACACACACAGACACACAGACAGCACGCTAAGCACTACACTACCGCTCCCCACACACCACACACCACACACGCACACACACAGACACACACACAGACACACGCAGACACACACAGACAGACACAGACAGACACACACACACACAGACACAGACAGCACGCTAAGCACTACACTACCGTTCCCCCTACACAACACACGCGCGCGCGTCCATAGGTACACATACACGCGCTTGCTGCAGACACACACGACTTTCAGGGTGCGTAAGGCAGTAAACGACTGAAATAATAAAGCGGCAATGCTGTGCGAGGAACGCCTTAGACCAGCAACACATTTGTGTAATGCGAGCGTAAACACACAAACACATACAAACACATACACACACATACATACACACACATACACACAAACACATACACACAGACATACACATACACACAAACACACACATACATGCACACAAACACATACACAATACACACACACATACATGCAGACACAGACAGACACATAACACACATACATACACACACATACACACACATACATAGACACACACATACATAGACACACACATACATACACACAAACACATGCACACACGTACATACACACATACATAGAGACACGCAGACATACACATAAAGACATAAAAAAAAACCCACATACATACAGACACACATACACACAAACACATACATACACATACATACACACATACATAGAGACACACAGACATACACATAAACACAAACACACATACACATGACCCGGCTTCGCCCGGGACTTGGATCCACGATGCCCCGCCGCCTTTGTCTCCCCAGTGACGATGTTCACACACGACAGCAGTTACGCTTTTGAGGCTGAGTGGACGTAGGGGAGGGCCAGGTCCGTTTCAAATAATCGTCAGCGGTGGTGGGCGTGAGTTGGAATCGAACTGGGGTCGCTCAAGCAGCTTAATGACTGTTTGTACAAAGAACATATAAAGAATCGATTATAATAACCAGGCAAGAGTCCACATTATAGACTGGCAGTACACGCACTCAGCTTCATAAGCAGGCTAGAGTGTACATGATAGAGTGGCAGTACGCTCACCGAGCTTAATAAGCAGGCTACAGTGTACATGATAGACTGGCAGTACGCTCACCCAGCTTAATGAGTATTTGTACAGTGAACATTAAAGTAATCGATTGTTGGCGCGTTGGGTTTAAAAGTAATATTAATAGCACACATTGTGGTGGGGGTGTAGTGAAGAGTAGGAAAAACTTTGATGAATTTACCTCAGAGTGGCGTGGTGGGTGTCGAGGCCTAGTAGCGTGCAAAGCCTGCGGCCTCGCCTAAAATTGTCGGCTTGGAAGAGGCAGGGTACGGGTGGCGTTCCTTCCCCCCCCCCTAGCGCTCCAACAATACTGTGTAATGGCTATTATTTAATTAAATACGGAGCTTATGAAAGTGGCGAAGGCGTGGCTAGCCGTTGGCAGGGGCAACCGCCGTCCAATGAAACTGCAGCCCTTGGCGAAGGCGTCGCTAGCCGTTGCCAGGTCCAATGAAAGCGGCGAAGGCGTGGCTAGCCGTTGCCAGGGGCAACCGCCGTCCAATGAAAGTGCGTATGGGCCGAAATACACACACACACACACAGACAGACAGACATGAACGATTTTATATATATAGATTCTTGCAGCAGTTGTAGGCACTCCTGTCTCTGTCTATACGGTCACCTTTGTTGACTAACTTTCCTTATCTACTTTACACCTCGCTAACCTGCCTGTGGCAGCTTTTCGTCTCAGCAGCTCCGCACTCACACCTCCGCACTCACAGCTCTGCACACGGCAGCTCCCGCTCTCGGTAGCTCCGCACTCGAAGCTCCGCACCCAGCAGCGCTCACACAGAGGCTCGCACACAGCAGCGCTCACACAGAGCTCGCACAATGCAGCGCTCACACAGAGCTTGCACACAGCAGCGCTCACACAGAGGCTTGCACACAGCAGCTCTCACACAGAGGCTTGCACTCAGCAGCTTCTCACACAGAGGCTTGACCCACAGCTTCGCTCACACAGAGGCTTGACCCACAGCTTCGCTCACACAGAGGCTGCAACGTAGCTGCTCTCCTTCTGCGCCGCTGCCCTCGCCTACGTTCCCTCAGACCCACTCACTCGTCCGATCTGGGCGGTGGGATCAACCATCACCCGCTCGGCGACTCGTGAGGGTTGAGGTCCATCCCTGGCTTGAGCGGCAGCGGCGAGATGTCTTCACCTTGGTCCCAGCAACCCGAACTCCCGCTCCGCTCCCACGCGCCTCCGTTTATCCTCCCAATTATCCAGCTCCTCCCTTGTGTCTCTTTAGGGCCAGACAGGCTGGAGCCTGTCAGGCCATCAATCACCCCTTATCGCATATCTCCCTGGCAATACCTCGGTATGAGCTTGCAACCCCGGGCCGACCCCGTCTGCACCCGATTTTCCCCTTAATGAGGTGGAGGTTTGCTTGTGCAACCTCACGTTGCACACGCGCACCTGCCTGACCTCGGTTGCCCTCGGCCAACAGTGCGCACCGCGTATGTTACCGCACTACACAGGGGTCATGGGTTCAACCCCGACCCTGACGCCTGTATATTTGCAGTTTGCATGATTTCCACGTGGTTGCATGGATTTTTCTCCGGATCCTCTGGTTTTTCCCTCTTCATTTAGAAACACGTGTTTAGATTATTTGGCTGCAATACATTTCCACATGATAAGCCACTTCTTTGAGCTATCATTTGTGGCCAGGTCGCTTCTGAAAAATAACTTTATAGTGCAGTGGGCCTTACCTGGTAAAACAAAAATTATTTTGTTTTAGTTGAATGTTTTGGGCCACGTCTGCGATTTTCTGGGGCAACATGATTAATTGGTTGGCTTTTCTAGCGAGTCTTATCCTCAAGTTGACTCAAGCGCAGCAGGAATCGTCAGGTGATATAAACAATTTATAATTTTTAATGAGGCTCGTGGCTTGAGCAAGAGTTTTGCCCATTAGTTTCCTCGAACTGTCGTCTATATAAACTTGTTCAATAGCAGATATCATCGCGGTAGGCTGCTATGGAGCATGTACTAATGATGGCCCTACCAACAGGCCCAAGGTCTACCTGGTTTGGTGTGGACACAGCTGTGTTCATACTGCGAGATAACGGTGACTCTGCTAACGCGAAGGATCTGGTCAGCTTTACCGAGCTTTGTCACAAGGAGGTAAAATTCCAGCCACGGATTTTTATTCTTGCAATATTTGTGCGATGTTTGTGTATGGCATAAATTTCATATGTTTGCTATAGAAGTTTATAACTCCCACTTTTTCATATACGGTAATGCAATCTTAATGTCGCATGTTATTTCCTTCGTTCTAATATAGTCATGCATTTCTTCTACGTTTAAAGCAGTTTCAGATGTATTTTCTCCAGTAACCTATTGGTGCACGATGGTTGTAACTGTAATTTTACGTAGACGTTCAGATACCTGAACTTTCTTCACATACCCGCCCATACCTTGGTCGCCATTGTGTTAAATATGCAACTTTGTGACGCACAGTACACTGCAGTTCCTGAAACTTGTACAAAATAATTCTGCTTAAGCCTTAGCCTGGCTCAGTGAAACCAGGTGGACCCGCTAGTGCAGTGGTTCTCAACTTTGTTTGGCTACTACTGTACCCCACCCTTGTTGAACTTTGTTTCAACCGAGTTGTACCCCCTTGCCTGACCCAACATGGTTATCTGAGAAATCAATGTATGAATAATGAACATTAATATTTATTACCAAATGTCCATTTTGTGAAGTATCAGAATTAGCTAGTAACTGCAGGCGAATAATAAAATCAACGGACGCTCTGCATGTGTGATGTAATTTTTTTGTGCTCGCTGGTTACTCTGGAAAACCACATTGTTTACAGTCCTAAGTTACAATATGGATTTAAATGTCATGATAGTTATTTTTGTATTGGCCCATTCAAATATGGTTATTCACTAATGACTCTCACATATGATACATTTTGCACATTTATAAATCACCTCACGTACCCCCCCTGGTGTAATTGCCACGTACCCCGAAAGGGTCTACGTACCCCCTGGGTGACAACCACTTTGCTAATGTACCGGTGAGGGTATGAGACACGCGTTTGCCTCCCATCGGCAGACGTTTGCCTGGCGCGGGGACCTTCAGAAAGGCTCCTACCTCCTTGTGCCCTTCACCACGGGCTGTCGCCTGCGTAAGCGGAGTAGCACTGCCGCCACCGCCAGCAAGAGCACCGCCCTCATCACGACAGCTGAGAACGGGGAACTGGAGCTCACGCGCCAGTTCCGGTCGGTTCGCTCATTTGCGTTGGGAGTTTGTTTTTAATTAACGCATTACAACTGAGGCTGTTGAAAGGACGTATGCATTTGCTCTGCCAGTCCGTTTGTCTGTCTATCTGTAATGGGAGCGGGGTGCATTTTAACTCGTGAAATTAGTCCGGTATGAACACATGTTTGTATAATGTGTTGCTAATGAAGGCCTTGCCTGATTGGAAACTGGCCAAATTGATAAAAGGGTTATGTTTGGTTTGTGTTAATTTTTCTATTCATGTTTTATGATTATATTTAATACAATGTCTGTGTATCTCATTTGTGTTATTGATAGATTCATTACACATTGTGTGTGTGCGCATGCAGGACAATCCTGTCGGATATCTTCGAGATCATAGATCTGGACGGGAACGGGCTGCTCAGCCTGGAGGAGTACAACCTGTTTGAGTTGCGCACCAGCGGGGAGGAGTGCGATTCCAGCGCCTGGGAGGTGTGCAAAGGTCAGAGTTCAATGGGTCAAGCATAATGTAGTGGCAGCAGCAGCATCACAGATACAAGGGTACATTGTCAGGCACTGTTGTACAGGGGCTATACCCCAGCATTTTTTAGGCAAGGTTGATGATTCCCAGAGAGGTTGTTATGTGCATGAAATACAAAGTATGTGAATAACTGCTGTGTGAGGTGGTCAGAGGATGGCAGTATGGGTTATTTAATAGGCCTTCAAATATTTTGAATACCAGCGATCAAATGCATTTGTAGTGAGTCCAACTGAGTCGCAGACGTTGTCTTGGGAGCAACACTATTTATTTCACCAACTCAACACAACATAACACGTACTCTTTGGTTCTTTCGGTAAAGTCACGTAGGTATAAAATAAAATAAATCACGTTTATGATGCAACACAAGCGTCCATCAGGTAGAAAAGCATGGTCTGCTGCTGAGGCAGACTTTTTTAAAAGGTTTGAAATGGGTGTAGCCCAAGGGTCATAAAGAAGTGGCCAGGGCTAGTGATGTTAATGTGTTTTCTCACATTAACATCACTAGCCCCGGCCACTTCTTGGGCTACACCTATTTCAAACCTTTTAAAACAGTCTGACTCAGCAGCAGACCATGCTTTCCCACCTGATTTCGGGCGCTTGTGTTGCGCCAGAAACGTCGTGATCTATTTTATTTTATACCTACGTGACTTTACCGAAAGAACCAAAGAATATGGATTCCTGCAGTCACGAAAGCTTCAAATCAAGATTATAACACAACACAACCTACACTTGGGTGTTGAATGCCCATTTAGCCACGCTACGGCAGAACTAGACACAGTTCGCTATCCCGGCCCGGACCACAAGCTGGGTTCTAGACCGCGTGGCTAGAGGCTTCTTTTACCCGACGTGGATCTTCTTCACCAGCAACACGAAGAACCCCGAGTCCCTCATGGAGCCCCGTTATATCGGCCTGGGCTGGGGCTGGCTCCGCCTCTCTACCCGCCCACCTTCTAGATCTCTCGAGCTCTTTCCCGAAGGCTCCCGAGAGCTCTTTTATACCACGTGACCGCCCAGCGGCCCCCGTCCACCGGTGGCCCCCCTCCAATATCATCCGGTCACATGTCGGCAGGTCAACCAGCGTATCATGCCCCAACATAACCCTGTCTGGCTGACACTCTCTCTTGCTCCCTCACCGGGAGCCCGCACCGCACACTCTACGTGGTGCCTCCGCGCTGACCAGCGCTTACCCAAGCACCGCTAAGGCTGGTATTATGCCCAGTAAGCGGGCGACACATAATGCCAACACATTATCCACCGTGGCTTCGTAAGCCCAGCACCACATAGTGACATTCACAGTCACTACACATTGATAGAGTGGTCACAATTTTATTTAAAAAAGGAATTTTTGTTGTTGTTTTTGTTTTATTATTCTTGTCACATTTGTACTACTATTTTGTGTGTACAGTTTCCTGCATTCGTCTAATGTAAGATTAGCACATTTATGGCAATTCTTATAAATTGCATATATTTAATTTATATACGAACGATTCTGATGCGTGTGTCATGAGAATGATAATTTATTTCAGCCAATGAATTTGTGCATAGTTACATGCATTTTGTTTTCGTACCTGTAGGTACGTATGTTAGTTGTTGAAGCCCCGTGTTGGCGCGGAATGCCGCAGCAGCCCGCTAATGTCACTGTGCACGTTCCCGCGCACTCAGCCAACTTCGACATGAAGAGAAACGAGCTGACCCGCCAGGGCTTCCTGGATCTCACGCTCATGGAGGCCAGGGACCAGGGTGGCGACCCTAGAGATTTGTGGGTCACCTTGGAGGCCATGGGATACAACCGGGATCTGCATCTGGATGAGGTGCGTACACAAGCATCCTCATTGCCCTGAAACACGCAAACACATCCAGTACTGTCTGTTGGGAAGTTGATTGTGGTTTTTGTTAGTTTTTTTTTTTCTTTAGCACAAGTTGTTTTGGGTGGAGTCGTGGTGCAGTGGTTAGAGCTTCGCTCTGAGTCCAGCTACCTGAGTTTATTACCCGGCAATGGCTAACATGGACGTCTCGGTGATGAGATGTTAACTACCCCGCCTGGTATACAAGAGGTCGTGGGTTCGATCCCGTCCCTGACGCCTGTATATTTGGAGTATGCGTGTCTCTCTCTCCCCATGGTTACGTGGATTTTTTTCCAAGTCCTCTGGTTTTTCCCTCGACATTTAGAAACAACATGTGTTTAGAGTATTTGGCTGCTCTAAATTCACGTGATAAGCCACTTCGTTTGACTTTCATTTGTGGCCAGGTCACTTCTGAAAAAGAGCTATATAGCTCAGTAAGCCTTACCTGGTGAAATTAAAATAGTTTAATAAAGTTTAGTTTAACATCAGTACTGAATGATATCTAAACTGGTTCTGACCCCCGCCCCCCTTTACCTGCACGATCCAACTTGGTGAAGTATGGTCAAACGACCCCATTGACTGACACAGCATGGGTAGGGCTTTATCCAGTTTTGCATTGACAAAGGGCCTTGCCTTGTTATCGTCTATCATGTTGCGCAAATAATTGATAATGGTGTATTTTGTAAAAAAAATACATGAATCTCAAAATAACTAAGTACCTTTGGTAAACATGTGCAAAGCTATAATGAGAATGCTAAGTTTCACAGACGGATAGTCTGCCAGAAGATGAGGATGTTGCTTTGAGATTTTACAAAATTGAGTAGTTTGTGGGTTATTTGTAGTTATTAGGACCATGACATCAGTGAATCAGATGGCGCATATTCTTTGGTTAATACACCCGCAGCAATATTAACCAGGGTGGCTGGTGGCCTGAAACTACGAACCTCTGCATCAACCAGCAAACGCGCGACCACTGGGCAATGTCACCACCCCTATATCAATCTTAAGAGTAATTTGTGGCCAGGCCACTTCTGAAAAATAAGTTAATAGCTCAGTGGGCTTTACCTGGTAAAATAAAAATTGCTTCGTTTTCTTCGGGAAACATTTTCTTTCGTGATTTGCTTACCTTTCCTATACTTTGTTGTAACATTCCAACTCACTCCTACCGGCTGGACATGTGTGAAAAAGAGCTTTTACAGCTCATCGGGATTCCTCCAGTATAAACAAATATTCTGATTCCGTGTAACTGTTGCACTGCCACGGGCTGACACGTTGGCAAATGTCTTCTCGCGCCAGGCGTGCCCGCTGGTGCTGGATGTGTTCGCGGAGGAGGTGCGCCCACGGCTAAGCGCTCTGCCCGTGGAGGCGCTGGGCTGGCGCCTCACCCGTGCCGTCTGCGAGGCCACGGCGGGCAAGGGGGAGGCGCGGGCGCTGGACGCCAGCGAGAGCATCGTGGTGCACGTGCATCGCAGCGAGAGCCGTGTCACCACCGTGCTGCAGAACAAGGTGAGTGCTGAACGAGCGATTACTTGGAATAGGCAACGGCGACATTTTATCTCCCTCGCCCGGTATACAGGAGGTCGTTGGTTCAATCCCAACACTGATGCCTGTTGTATATTTGGAGTTTGCTTGTTCTCTCTCTCCCCATGGTCGTGTGGATTTTTCTCCGGGCCCTGCGTTTTTACGAATTGCCATATTTTGGTCACATGACAAGCATTACTAATTGGCTGCATCGGGTAGAGGTGGGTTTACGACACATTTACATTTACGCAATCTAACCCAAAAAAGTTAATCTGAATGATTTAACATAATCCAACATAGTTTATCATTCAATCAGTCGCGGGGTTCATTATGTCCTGTTACAGCGCGCATCTTGAGGCAACGGTGCCGCGATGGTGAGATGTTATCTCCCTCGCCCAATATACAGAAGGTCATGGGTTCGATCCCAAACCTTGACGCCTGTATATGTTTTCCCCGTGGTCGTGTGGATTTTTCTCCAGGTCCTCTGGTGTTTCCCTCCACATTTCGAATTTTGCCTGCAATTTCCACAAGATAAGCCACTTTGTTGAGCTATCATTTGTGTCCAGGTCGCTTCTGAAAAAGAGCTGTATATCCCAGTGGATCTTACCTGGCAAAATAAAAAAGAGTTCAGTTTTAGTTTAATGTTTTGGCTCACGTCTGTGATTTTCTGGGGCAGCGTGATTAGTTGGTTGGCTCAGTGGCCTTACCTGGTAAAATAAAAATTGTTTAGTTATATCTTCTTGGTTCTTTCGGTAAAGTCACGTAGAAGGGAGATAATAAAATAATAAAAAATAAAATATAATAAAATAATACAATTCTCACGACGTTTCGGCCACAACGCAAGCAGCCGTCCTCAGGTGAAAAACAGGTCTGTCGGAAAGACAGCGTCTGAATGAACACCACCATGCTTGGCAGCGTATATTTAAGCTGGGTTAGGGGGGGAAGAGCGCCTTGACATAGGAATTTGCATATCAACAGAGGAATTTCGCATATTTATGGAAAATGCAGATATGGGATTAGTCACTACTTGTGGAATGTGTAGGAGGGGGGGGGGGGTCTCAAAGTCATATTATGCCCGTGCATAATGTAGGATTAGCAGCAACAAAGGGAGGAGGTAGGGTTAGCAGTAATAAAGGGAAGGAATTTTAATAGTAAGGAGCTGTAGCAGCCAAACCACCACGTAAAAAACTAAAATATAAACTACATCAATATCATCAATATACTAAATATACTCTCCAAAAAGCTGAGCTACTAACAGTAAGTCATACATTACAATTCTATGTCGCAAAAAATATAATATGCCTCCAGCTAAATTTTTCCTTACATCAGACGGATCTACCCCGTACTATATACTGCCATAGACAAATCCAACATTAAATTATATACTGCATTACTATACACCACCTTAGACTATACATTGTAATATTACACTATGTATTATTCTACCCACCCTACTGTATACCACACTGCTGTATATTCACTATACATTTACGATACTATATATTACCTTATACATTATATTAAATATTACACTTTTATACTATTTATTATTATACAATCTGCTATACACTATACCATTGACCGTTACGTAAAAGGTACTAAGAGGAAGCAACGAAATATGTCAGGTGGGTAGAATAAGACATACTGTAATATTACAATGTATAGTCTAAGGTATAGGGTGGTGTATAGTAATGCAGTATATAATTTAATGTTGGATTTGTCTATGGCAGTATATAGTACGGGGTAGATCCGAAACGTCGTGAGAATTGTATTTTATTATGTTTTATTTTTATTATTTCATTATCTCCCTTCTACGTGACATTAACCAAAACAACCAAGAAGATGAATCCCTGCAGTCACGAAAGCTTTAAATCGATGTTTAGTTATAGTTTTTCATAGCATATAAATAGACAGGCCAGAGAGATAATCTCAAAAGTTCTTACTCACTACTCTAATAAGGACATTGTACCACTCTGCCTTGATTAGGATGGTGTATTCCCTGTTGATCTGCAAGATCAAGAGACGTTGCAATTATGTATCTGTGTGGCATAAAAAAGTAGCATTAATAACATGAAGATTTTAATGCGTATTTTTGCATGTCGAATGAAACTGGATTGCCCAGTAAAAAATTCCCACGTGTATTGGATAATAACGTTTAATAAATCAGCCGTTCTATAAACACGTTGATGCTTGGCGTTGCTTTTATTTTCAGCGCGACATCAAAGTTGTGGTGCGCGTCGATTGCTCCCAGAGCAAGAACTGCGTAAGCAGTCGCGGCATGGACGTGTTCGCCGTTGAAGTCCCTCCCCACACTACAGTGGTACGATCCCAACATCTTGTGTGTATGTTGGACTTCTTCTGCACCGTACGTAGCCAACCGTGCCGATCTTACACAGTGCTGCCAACGCTCGTGGTCATTGGGGCTTCCTTATGCCCACTTCCGTTTCGTACGGGGCCCATTCTTATAACAGCATGGCACGACCAGGGTCTGGTTGTAGATAACAGTCTGTTCCTGTCTCCTGCAGATCGGGCACCATGTGATGCCCATGAACGAGCGACACGACTGGGTATACAACTGCACGGAGACTCTGCTGACCTGAAGCACAGAACGCTCATCGTCCCTCCTCTGATTCTTTCTGGGATTCTTCCCACTCATGTGGGAGTCTGTCTTCCTGATCCTTTTTCTCGATCCCTTCCTATTCCTGCACCATCTCCAAATCCACTCTGCAGTCCTTTATTTGTCGGTTTACCACTTTGAAAACTAACACTAAACTCACATTTTTTTACCAGGTAAGGCCCACTGAGCTATATAGCCCACAAATGATAGCTGAACAAAGTGGCTTATCACGTGGAAATTTATAGTAGCCATATACTCTTAAGCACGTTTCTAAATGTGGAGGGAAAAACCGGACGACCTGGTGAAAAATCCACGTAACCATGGGAGGAAATGCATACTCCCATGTATATAGGCGTCTAAGAGTCGGGATCGAACCCACAACCTGTATACCAGCCGAGGTTGTTAACATCTTGCCACCGTGAGATGCTAGAGGGAGCCACCTCTCTCTAGCCCTGCCTCGGTATGTGCGCTGGTGTTTCCACGTTCATTGCGTTTCTCCCTATGTGGGTTTCCTTTCCACTCGTGGCACGTCTTAGCCATCCGAGTTGCCTTTCAGCTTGTCCGACTGAGATGGACACCACTCTTGCCTTCTTCCTGGTACCTTAATTTCTGACCCGATCCCGTCATGTGATCACCGATTCCATCTCGTCGTCATTATTTGTCATCTGAAGCGAGCCTACCGCTCTATGGCCTCTAAAGTGGCATCTTTCATTCATACTCATTCAGTGTTGTGTGATGCGGCTTGTGATTTAACCGTTGATTTTGGTTTGTGTTTGAATGGGATTGGTGGCACTGGGGGTAGTGTTATTGTTATGTTTTAATAATTTGAATGCTTAGTGGTGGTGGTGTCTTTATATCTTATATCATCATGGATAAATGAAGGTATAAATGTGTTCACTTATTTGTTTACAAATATGTTTTTTGGCTACAAAATTGTAGTTTAATTTACCTTGCTGGATCTTAATGCACATTTCTAAACGTTGCCATATCTTCCCCAAAAGCGCACGCACACATTGTTACAATCCCTGTTGTTAATGGTGGAACGATTTAGGCATTCATGTACCAATCAGTTTTAGTGTGCCAGTCAGTTGCCTTTGAATGTTGTACAATCTTGAAAACGCAGTTCAAGCCTAAACATTCCACATACGAATGTGCAAATGTAATTATTAACTCTTGACACATGCCTGTTATATTTCGAATTGCTATGTATCCAGGTGATTAGTTAATGTGAGCTATTCTGGCCTTGCAGTGATTCTCGGTCTGCCCACCCTTTTGCAGCCAAGGAACAAACCATTCATGCCTGCGATTATAACAGCTGTGTATTTTTGGAAGAAAAAAAACCATTACAAATAAACGATGGATCACATCCCCATGGGTTGTCTTGATGGTGTTATCTGGCCAACTCTAAATTCGGAGTTGGTGGTTCGTGAGAGGGCGAGAGCATTGCTTCTAGAGGGCGCAATTGCATTAGGTGGCGAATTGTTGGTTTAAAATAGACTACAAAACGCCTTTGCAGCGTACAGCCTAAAATCACATGATGGAGTCACGTGGGGCTCTTAAAGAATCATGACACTAAATTCCAATTTAACAAATGTACAAGTGCTTGGTATCTAAATCACTTAACTATATAATATTACACAACTCTAAGAGATATGTGTATGGTAGTGTAGTTGTAGTGGCATCGTGGACTGTCATTGCATGAGGTGTGAGCCGGGCTGTGCGAGGCACGATCTACGGTCACTTTCTACGGCATGCACACTTCTGACAGCCTGCACTGCGGATGCAGTACCGGCCCTAGCGGGGGCCGGCTGAGATCGCCAATCAAGGATGGATGGCACGTGCAGTGCAGTGCCAGCCTCTAGAGGTTAGGGGGCGAGAGTGCCAGGTAAGGTGCAAGGGTTCACAGGGGGCCATGAAACTGTGTGAACCCGGAGGCCTGGTGACCGGAAGTACCAAGCCTGGGGGTCCTCAAAGAGGGGGCTGGGGGACCACGGGACCAGGAGCAGGTCCCTCTCGAAGGCTCGAGAAGGTGGGCGTGGCCAGGGGCGGAGTGAGCCCTGCCACGGACAATAGAAGCCGGAGCGCTGAACGGGTCGGGCGGCTGTCGCAAGAATCAAGACTCAAGTCGTCACCGAGAGAAGACCTGCCCGACTACGAGACCCGGACCCGAGCCGGGGTCCGGTCTGAGGTCGCCACCCAGTGTGTGCTAGAGTTAGCAAGCCCGGAGGGGATACCTCACTCGGTTAGCTGGTGAAGGGCCAGATATACCCCTTCGTGTTTAGGGCTTGATTGTTAATAAACGTGTTGTCTCGAAGAAGCCTCCGTCTCCCTGGTGTGAACCACTACATACTCTTTGGTTCTTTCGGTTAAGTCACGTATACCTACGTCACGTATACCTACGTGACTTTACCGAAAGAACCAGAGTATGGATCCCTGCAGTCACGAGAACTTCAAATCTAGATTGAACCACTACATAGTTATGACATTATTTGGTGATACTGAGTTGGGTCAGTGGTGCGCTAGCACCCAACAACAAAAACTCCACAGATTCGTTAATAACACAGTGGCGAGATGTTAACTACCTTGCCTGATATGCAGGAGCCTCGGTTCGATCCCGACCCTGACGCCTGTATATTTGGAGTTTGCGTGTTCTCCCTGTGGTCACGTGGATTTTTCTCCGGGTGAAGTTTTGCTCATCCACAATTAGAATCAACGTGCTTTTCGAGTATTTGGCTGCTATGCATTTCCACATGATGAGCCACTACACGTTGAGCTATCATTTGTGGGAACAGGTCACGTCTGAAAAAGAGCTCAATAGCTCAGTGGGCCTTACCTGGTAAAATAAAAGTTTAATATGAATGACATTTCGTGAAACCGATGAGCGAATTTCTCAACATCGCCAGCTTCTGTCCCCACAGTCAGCCGGTCGGCAGATCGCACGTGGTGGGGTAAATTGTGGGTACTTAAGCCCACAGGGTACATTTTCACTTGCCTATCACTGTTATGAGGCTTTTGCTGTGAGAGTGGGGGGCGGGGGGCGTGCGTGACCCCGGGGCTGCTGACGCAGAGTAACAACTCCAATTTCACATTCAGGTGGTCAAGCCAGATAACCGCGTGGATGAGTGGAGTGCCATCGTCAGGACATCAATGTTGATCGCGAGATACTCGGCACTTCGCTCGGGAGAGTCATCCTATCTGGCGCGTTGTTGTGTCCACGCGCTCTCAGCCACAACGGTCAGGGATTCGTGGAAATGTGTCGAGTATTCTATTGTGATATATAAGGGTTACATCAAAGCGGTTAATTGTTGGGTCATAGATTTCTGGTCGTGGATCAACCAGGAGCCCCCCTCCCTACCCCCATTGAGATCCACCAGCATGGATCATCTCATCACAGCGCTTCGAGTAATTGACCACCGATGGTAACTCTAGCAGAGATTACTCGCGTATGCATCCCATACGCGTATATACATCCAATGTGTGTACAGTACTGTATACAGAGCAGTCCCTAGGTAAGGGCGAATTGGGGCAACCGCCCGGGCCCCGCACTTTTGGGGGCCCCGTGATTCGATGTCACGGTGGTGTCAGATCTAATACTTCCAATTTAGTTTGAAGGCGTCGGGGGTGGGGACACGGTGGGGTTTGCCCCGGGCCCCGCTCCCCCTATACGGACGGCCCTGAATGCATACCTGTCAACCCAGACGGTTTATCAGTGTTCGTGTACAGGGAAATTGAGTTTTCAGGTCCATAGGGCGTAAAGCCGTTTCAATACGGGCAAAATTTTTTTTTTCATTTATTTGTGTTTCTCCCTTGTGAAGGGACTTGATAGGATGAACGTTGAGATTTGTAAGGGCAAGGGGTGACCAATTAGGCCTGAACTGGTCTGAGATAAAGTAGGGCACTGATAAGGGGGTGACTATACTCTTTGGTTTTTTCGGTAAAGTCACGTACGTAAAAAAAATAAAAATGAAAACAATTAAATCACAAAAATAAAAACAGCTAAATTAAATCACTCATTTTTTATTTTATTTTTGTGATTTAATTTAGTTATTTTTATTTGTTTACCTACGTGACTTTACCGAAAAAACCAAAGATCCTTGCAGTCACGAAAACTTCAAATCTCGGTTTGTGACTGTATCCGTACGAATCTTCGTGCCATCACCCCCAAATGACCAGATCACGCTCAACACATCCGAGGCCATTTAATTTCAGGGTAAATGAAATTAATTTACAAGCTCATTTTGTTCATATATATTTTAAACACGTGTTCTTGCTGACAATTTGTAACATCCCCCCCCCCCCCATGTGCATATACAGTAAATACATAACTTACAAAGGACGATCGGAAAAATTCGTGGCCTGATAGAGCAGGAGTGGCATTACGATGGTTGAATGTGCAGATAATAGGATTGGTGGCGTTGCAAGGGTTAATGAATGTGCAGATAATAGGATGCGCAAAGTGCAGAGCACAGAAACGAGTAAAAAGCACACCCAGCCATGTGTGTGCCTCTTGTAAATAAAACCACGAACAGTTCTTGTAGAACTGCATTGTCACCATCACAATACAATTTGACAAATTTGACCGACTGATAGGCGGCCAGTGATTAAGTGTTACTGTGGACCAGTTTCATCCTAATTATGACTCATCAGCACACCCTTAGTAACCCCCCCCCCCCCCCCAATGTGTCTTCTCCCTGAGTGCCCAGACTCGTTTGGGCCACGCTCGCCAGGCCTGGCTTCCCGTGCCATCCACAGGTCTGCGCAGTGAGTGATTCTCTCGTTGAGTGAAGGGAGGCAGCCATTTAATCTGGGCGAGCGATCATTTGTGGCCAGGTCGCTTCTGAAAAATAACCTCATCGCCCAGCGGGTTTTATCTGGTAAGATATAAAAAAGTTTATTTTTATTTTTTTAAGTGACTTATCCTATACTTTGCACTCCGATCGTGTGTTTTAATGGTTTGTTGTTGTAACGGTATAACCCTTCTAGATATTTGTGAAAAAGAGCTTTATAGCTCATCGGATTCATCCAGTATACATATTCTGATTTTGAAAATAATATTCTGAAATCCTTGGGGAATCAATGATGATGAAGACCAATCGTGCTGCCCCCCCACCACACCCTACAAGGGACCTTCATGCTTCAAATCAGGCTGCGCATTTTTCCGATCGCCCCCCCCACCCCCACATCTTCTGTAAGCCGATTTCAATATTTCAATTTCACACAAGTGTACAATTATAATAAGCCTTCACATTGTACTATTTTTTTTAGTTCAATTTTAAATATTTGTTCACGTATCTATTGCCACTATAAGGCACGCATGCTCGATCATTATCGTATCGTAATATTATATATTAATCTTATACTCATGCGCAAAGTTAAAGCAGGTGCTACGACTGAGGAGGTGTTCGTGCCGCGTGGCTCCGCATTGTGCTATCGGGTTATGCCACTTCGTGTCCTTCAGCACGATATCCGACGTTCCGCTCCCCATGCCTGGAGCTGCTTCAGAAACCGAATTGCCAATCAAACACGCGGTAGAGCCATGACGTCCGGCGTTCTGTTGCACATGCCGGGAGCTTTTTCAGAAACTTGAACTTAAGAAGCTCCCAACCACGTGTAGTAAAACGTCGGACATCGTGCCGAACAGCACGCACCGGTACAACCTGAGGGCAGGTCGGAGCGCGACACAGCGAACATCGCGAGCTACGCTGCTACATCACTCGGCGTTGTCTATGTTCTACCGAGCGGTTCATCACATCTGGTGTACGCAGTGGCGTCGTAACTACATAATTAGCCCAAGGGGTGCGGCAATCAATCAGGTGGGGCCCCAACACTGCTGAAACAAACCTCATGGTGGTTGTCAAGGGGGCCCCAACTCGTAGCTTTGGGCACCCCCTGCCTGGCCCACGCTTGTGACACCGCTACTGGGTGTACATCAAGCACTCCTCACTGTTCCCTACGTGGTTGTACATTGTGTCACGGTAAATAACTTAAGCTACGGAAGAAGGAAATAAAAACTCGATAACCCACAATAGTTCACGTGTCCGGAAAGAGCAGCAGTTGTTGGTTGAGAGTAGGCAGAATTATCGAATTGTCAAGTTTGTTTTACGGACACTTATGGAGAGGATTACAAGATAACAGTGATACATTTATTTCAACGCTTGCAGGTATTTGTGGCCGACAGTTTGTTGGGGGGTCAGATCGTCGCGTGACTAGAATGCCAATGTTGTGTCGTCCACCCCTTCTCCACGTGAACATTAGCACTGATTTGTTAATGCTTCAGCACGGCCGTGTGCAGCAGGGGGATCCACGCACACATCACAATGCGGTGCGACATCTCACTGGGAAATTACAACAAGCAGCATCATGCATTGGTAGCCAGAATCGTGAAAAATCTCTTCCAGTTTTGAGCCTTCGGCAGTGTGACTGTCATCACCATTGTGACGTCATCACCATTCTCATGTCATCACAATTGCGATCGCCTGATGCTGCTGCTTGCAACTGCCAGTAAAACGTCCGTACCTCAGAATTAAATGTGCATAGCTCGCTCACGAACTTACCGTTTTTGCCGGCACAATAAGATATCAGTGCGTTTGTTCACGTAACAACTTTATTGTTGTTGTGGATGACACAACATTGGGATCTTGCTCACGCGGCGATCTGACCCCAACAAAATCGATTACGATGAATGAAATCGATTCGCAAGGCATTCCAATAAACCTCCGCGTGGGATATCTTAAAAGCGTGAATGTGGGTTATTGAGTTACCGCCGGTAACACCTCTCGCTGGAATGTGGTCATCGCATCACCAGAATACACTCAGCACCATGCTGGACACGCTAAAATTAATTTTGCTGGTCCGGGATATTTGTTCGACGGGTGACACCACTTGTTTTTTGTCATCCGTTAAATTGTTCTTTTAAAAAATAAAAGTCTGGTCGTATCCAAACGTAATTTCGTTTAAAAGATACCACTTGGAATAATAATTGTCATATGTTAAAATCGCTCTAAGAAAGTAAACGTCTTCTCCCGAAACGCCTTTCGTAAAACATTTGATAACGACCGATATTTTTGTCAACGCTGTCACAAACTGGATTTGATTGGCCTTGCCGGTCAGGTGGTGGAGGGTTATTGTTAGAAAAATTACATTACACGTACATGAGGATCTAGCCCCCAAAGATGATGAATCATATTTACTATTTGCATTGCCGACTAATTCGCAACTGTTATTGGATTACTGTTTTTGTAGCACAACGATTAAAATGTCACGCGTCAGCATTCCCAGACCTCGCCCTTTCGCAAATGACACAAACCACTCGACACACACTTTCGCCTCTCTCTCTCCACGTGCTGTGACACTGTGACGAAGGAACCATTGCCCAAAACATCACCTAATTATATTCTCTCCCTTTCGAAAGGCAACACACACACACATTGTTGTTCTTGACGAGTGTATAGAGCTGCGTTTGTTTTTGTTGTTGTTTGTGCTTGTGCATCACTGCCAATGCAGCAGCAGCAACAGCACCGAATCATTTGGTTAAATCTCCAGACTCGCACAGTTGGGACGGGCGATGGCAATCGAGTCGTCGGTTTCATTGCCGACGGCCATTGCGGCCTGTGGAGTTCTAGTCGAGGCTCAGCGGAAGTTCATGTTTACTCATTTCTTAGTCGAGTCGGCTACAGCAGTCATAAACATTTAGTCGGACACTCTTCGTCATTAAATGCTGGTGTGCGGGTCACGCAACTCAACCCCCCCCCAATCCTTAACGAGACAGTCTGTCTCATTAAGTGCGTCTCATCTGTATCGTCCATCTCATCTGTACCGACTTGTTTGGAATGTCTACATCTCGTTAATCATGTCCACTGGGGTTGTCCAACTCGTTTGAACCGTCTTGTTTTTATCATCCACCTAATTTTTCCTGAAGTCTTGTTTTTGTTTCACTCTGTCTGTTTCTCTTTGTGTCGTTTCTCACTATATTTCTGTCCCATTTGTCCTGGCCCATTCGCCCCATTAGCATTACCGTATATTTTCATACGGCCCGTAACTTCACTTCACACAGCCCGTGACTTCACTTCACGTGGCCCGTAACTTCACTTCACACAGCCCGTGACTTCACTTCACGTGGCCCGTAATTTCACTTCACACAGCCCGTGACTTCACTTCACACGGCCCATGACTTCACACGGCCCACGGCAACAAGAGGCCTACCACTTGGAAATGGCCCGCGAACACCGATGTCCATCAGCCTGAGCAGCACTCATTGAGTACTTGGGGGGGGGGGTCGGATATTTTCTACCCGGCAATGCCAACGTGTTTATAATTTACTTGCTTCTGTCTCTGCGAGGATCTCTCGGCTCGGTCGACGCGCAGAAAGGGACACTTCTCGTTATCTCTGAACAACGCGAAGGGGTTTACGCACAAAGGTGTTCGCGCTCGGGGGCCGCGACACAAACACAGAGACACAGCGCGTTGCGTAGGTTGCAGCGCAATGAAATTCATCTGGCTCTCCGTCGGAGAGGAGAGCCCCCCCTCCCATCCTGGGTTAGGCGAGTAAAAGAGAGACAGAAGAGAGACGTTGGGAAGACAGGAAACACCGCGTGGGCGTTCGCGGTAGCGCTGCGGTAGTTTTGCGGTCGTGCTGCGGTTATACTATGGTATGTGTTATGGTTGTGCTTCGGTAGCGCTACGTAGTGTTGCGGTCGTGCTTCGGTAGTGCTGCGGTCGCGCTGCGTGTACCATTCGGCGTGACGCCCGACAGTTTCGCTCCACGTGCCGGACGTTGTCACATTGCCGCTCCTGACGGAAGCACCCTGGGGCACGTGAAGCGAAATGTTGGACGCCCGACGTCTGGCGATATCGACTCGTGTGGCAGGGAGAGGGGGTCGCAGGTTCAGGATGAGGAGGAGGGCCACCCAGAGTTGTCGAACCCCGAAACAATGTTGGTGAAATAATGGCCTTCTGGGATACGTAAATAATATACTTAATTACCATGCCTGTAACTTTTGTAACGTGGAGGGACGGATATGGGAAATCGGCGTACTTTGTTCGCTTAATTTTTCGTGTAATTTTAACGAGGGTTTTGGGAAATGTCTCTCTCATTTTAGGAAATGTGTTTGTGTCATGATGACGGGCAACGTGGCAGGCGTCAGAGGCCAGTGGCGGGCAGGGGGGTGAGACAGATAGGAGACTGGAGAAAGAGACGAGAGAGGGGAGAGAGAGGAGATGGACAGGAAAGAGACAGGAGAGAGAGAGCCAGCGATGTGCAGAGGATGGGTGGGATGGAGGGAAAGAGGGAGGGAAAGGGGGAGGGATGGAGGAATGGAGGGTGGGACGGAGTGGAGCTGTTTCTCTCAGAGGTCGGGGAAGTGTGCCGGATCCTCAGTGTATCCGTGCGGCACGAGGAAGAGCTCCGGCGGGAAGGATTCCTGGGCGCGGAACTCTCGGAACGTTACGGTGGCGCTCACGGTGGGGAACACCGGCACGTCTGTGTGGGGGGCGGGGGGAAGAGATGCCACGGCAATCAGCTGCATTCTCCTCACCGTCGTAATAGCGCAGTCGCTATCACCGTGGTGACAGTGCCATGGTAACTATGCCGTGGTAATGGTGCTGGTCGGCAAGCTGGATATGCGATCCGAAGCAGCTCTCCGGTTCCATTCCATCTCCCGGCACGGCATTGAATCAATGGGAAAATGTCTTAAACTTCCACCCCGCATTTGTCCAGTCAGCAATATAATTACGCAAAAAACAAAGATCCCCTGTATACCCTTAACAGATTGTAGGGGCAAGTGCTGTTAGTGAGCACCTATGAAGGCCAACACAGCACACGAGGAGGTGGGTGGCCAGCACCACCGCCTTTGTCTCCCCAGTGGCAAAGTTGACACACTGTACCAGGTACTCATTCAGCTGAGTGGACCTTAGGGAGGCCCAGGACCTGTTCAGATAATCGCCAATGGAGTAGGCCGTGAGCAAGAATCAAACTTGGGTCGGTAGAATTGTACCGCAGCGCGCTAACCGCTGCACCACCGCTCCCCACTGTCATCACACCATCAACAGCAACAAGCGGCATTCTCCACTAAATGGCAGTGACGTCACCATGGCGCTTGTGCCAGACTGTGTGCACTTTAAGGCCATGTGAAGTGTTGAACGCCTGCTGGCAGGTCACGGGATAGACCCAGGTGCCATGGGCTGTACCCCTACTATGCAAACCTGCTGTGTTTTAACTGCCCGGCGCTCCGCTCGTTGTTCCTCTGCCCTCTATCACACACAATCACACACACATGTACATACTCTACACGTAATCGCCCTCTACAGCGAAAAGCTGGCATTCCTGGGTGGACCAAGCATAGTGAATAATCACATCTTTGATTGTCGATCCACTGCTGAATGAAGGCCTCCCCAAACGGAGGGAGGGGAGGGGAGTGGGTGGGTGGGGCGGGGAGAGAGGGGTCTCACCCAGTTTGACGGGGAAGCCAGGGGGCAGTCTCATCTCCACGAACTGTCGCAGTTTGCTGAAGTGTTTGAATGGAGCCACGGCCTCCAGCACATTGAGCAGCCTGTTCACACACAATCACACGTGGAGACCAAGAGCCCCCGTGTCGCCTTAACAGACTATTGGGGTGCAAGTGCTGTTAGCGAGCATGTGTGAAGGCCGGCACGGCACACGAGGTGGGTGAGTGGCCGACGCCACACCCGGCCACCGTTGTCTCCCGGGCGCCGACGATTTATACGCACCGCACAAGGTACTCATTTAAGCTAAGTCGACTTAGGGGAGGCCCAGGACCAGTTTAGAAATTCAACACCGTTACTGTCCGTGAGCGGGAATCGAACTCTGGCCGCTGAGTTTGTAGCAAAGTTCCGCTGACTACTGCACTACCGCTCCCCATACACAATCATATACACACAGCAAAGACAAATGTCCTCCGTATAGCCTTAACAGACTGTTGGGGCAAGTGCTGTTAGCAAGGCCGGCACGGTATATGAAGAGGTGGGTGATCAGCACCGCGCCCGACCGCATTTGTCTCCTCAGTGGCGATGATTACACACCCAACCAGCTACTCATTTTAGAATGAGTCGACCTCGGAGAGGCGCAGGGCCAGTTCAGATAATCGTCACTGGTGTTGACCATGAGCGGGAATCAAACTTGGGTCGCCGGGTTCGTAGCGCAGCGCTCTAACCGCTACACTACCGCTCCCCACAACAATACATGCATGTGCAACTGGAATAGTGCACACAAAAGTCTGCACAACCACACAAACAGACGCGAGCAGGCGAAGACAGAGACGCGATCGCATGGCGAGGCTGCGGCAGACTCACAGGTGGAGGTTGACGGGGAAGTCGGGACACATCGCCACCGTGGCGCGGAAATGCTTCTTGGTCTCCTTGCAAATGGGACGCCGAGCAAGCACCGGAGGCCTGTACCGCGTGGGGGGGGGGGCAGAGAGGGGGTGGGAGCGGGGGCGGCGGGGTCAAAGGTCACGGGGTTAGAGTTTAGGGCGGAGGGTTCAGCGACGAGCCACACTCGAACGCGGCGGCATTGAAGACTGTTGCCATCATCGCGATCATCGCCGAATTCGAGTTCATTACTAAACTATTATGAAACTAGTTTTATTTCACCAGGTAAGGCCCACTGAGCTTTATAGCTATTTTTCAGAAGCGAAGTGGCTTATCATCACGTGGAAATGTATAGCAGCCAAATACTCTAAAAGCACGTTTTTTCGAATTGTGGAATAAAAAATTGGAGGACCTGGAGAAAAATCCACACGACCACAAGGATCGAACCCACGACCTCCTGTATACCAGGCGAGGTAGTTAAAATCTCGCCACCGCGATGCCCCCATTACTGCCATCGTTATCACTATCACATCATAATAACCATGATCATAGTTATGACTGTCACATGATCATCATCACTATGACCATTGTTATCACTGTCACACGATCATCATCACCATGATCATCATTACTAACATCATTGCTATCACCATCATCGCCAGGATTATCATCATCTTCCTCCACACCATCACCATTACTATCACCCTCATTATGCACAAATGACAAATTTTGGATTACATAGAGCAACATCGCCCCCTGCTGAGAAGGCTTGTCAGGACCCTCCTAAGAATGAGGCTTGAGATTCAGTGAGGCCTTCCTGGGTAAACACGTGTAACAACAATGAATAGCACTGCTGGATGAAGGCCTCCCTCATCCCCCATCATCTCTCCCGACATCGCCTTCACTATCATCATCATTAAAGTTTTAGATTTAAAAAAATGTAATCCACAAACACTGTCTTACCTTCCAGGCTCCGCTGCGATGTAGTCTTCCCATTGGACGGTGCAGCTTGGGGGCGGAGCCAAAGAGTCCCGTTTGCTGGGCTGCGATTGGCGGAATGTGTCACATAGCGGCGGGGTAGAGGGGGGCGGCGGCACAGAATTACAACATTCAGTTCCATTAAGGTGTCGTGTGGGTTAACATTCTCTTACTCTATTTCATTTTTTTATTAATGGAACGCCTTCTTCACTCGAGGCACTTGACATAGTTTACAAAACGGTGGCCGAATATAATTATGTAGATGGCAGGGGTGTAGCAGAATTGAGGAAAGAGTGACAGCGATAGAGGTTACTTCACGAAAGGGTAGGGGAGGGACAGGAAGGAGTGGATGTATGTATGTTGAACTTCTTTCGCACCGTACGTAGCCAACCGTGCTAATCGGAGGTGTGGGGGAAGGACAACAAACTAAACACAAACAGCAGTTCTAGAGAAACGAATTTTCAATATAGATTTAAAAGTTCATAGCTCCAGTGGCTTCTTAATGCGCAGAAGCGCATCTGAAAGTGCGTGATGTTGTGAGCATCTTTGTTCAATGGCCAGACAAAAGCTGCTGCTGCTGCTGCGAGGATAACCGGAGTTCGCGTGATGGTTTGTGCTCCTTGACGAGATCAGCGAGGTATTGCGGTTCATTTGTGCGACCTTGTAGAGTGGAGGGGAGAGGGTAGGGAAGAGAATGAAATCTATCCACTGCTGGATGAAGGCCTACCCCCACCTCAATCCATTACCGCCGCTCACGGTCGAGCCATGCAGCAATCCACCTGGCACCTGCGCACGATTTTATCGCTCCATCTCCTGCGGCGGTCGACCCTCACAGGCACGGTTGCCTCCTCTGGTTGCCCCTTCGCATCGTGAGTCTCAACCGTGGACGATGGTGCCGTCGAGCCAAGACATGTCTTGCCCCAAGCCCAATTACTCTCGTCAAGTCTGTCACAGCCGGCGGTGGCGGCGGTGGTGGCTACGCTGCTGCACGTGGCTGCCTGTAGTGCTCCAGCGCTGTGGCGGCAGTAGTGGGGGTTTGTGGAACACCACACAGATGTCGTGAAACTCCCTTCCTGTGGATGGGCGTTGAGGAGGAGCGGTACCCTGGCTCACCAGGAGAAGGCGATACAGCAAAGTGTGGACTAAGCTCCATCTGTTCCAACTCCAGATGGCTAGACACACATTAGGCTATACAGACGGATAGACAGATGGATGAGTGAGTGAATGAGTGAGTGAGTGGGTGGGTGGGCGAGTGAGTGGATAAGTGGAAGGTTGGTTGGGTGAGTACGTGGGCGAGTGCGTGAGTAGGTCAGCGAGTGTGTGAGTGTGTGGGTGGATAGGTTGAGTGAGTGCGGGCCACACCAGGGCGGGGGGGTGGGGGGGCGCCCCCCCCTGCCGTAGGCTGTCGAGCAGGGCCTTGTTCCGCTGCACGTCGCTCTCCGTGAGATGCTCACGGCGCTTCCTCGACACAAGACACAGCCCCGAGATGGAGAAGAGCTCCCCTACAAAGTCCCCCACTCGCTCCTGGGGACATGCAGAGACACGGGGAGGCATGGGGAGACACGGGGATACACGGGTAGACACGGGGAGAGACGGGGAGCCACGGGGAGGCATGGAGAGACACAGGGAGAAAGAGGGGAGACACTTTACCAACTTGCAATGACCAGCGTGAAGTATGAGCGATTCACGGTGGGAAAGGCCTTCATTCAACAGTGCGCAGACAGAGGCTGTGTACATTATTATTGTGATATGCAGGGTTAGAGGATGACACTAAAACCATATCGATGGTGCCGTCAGCCAGACGTGGTGACCATTCTGCATTCCTGTGGCAGAGGCGAGTCAATCCGCAGACACAGACCGTTTTTCCTTTGGAGAAGAGCCAGCCAGAGTGAGCGCGGTGGAAGCCGATGTTCTTGGTGGACATCGTGATGGACACGATGTCGCGACTCATCAGAGCATCCACCTCCTCCTCCGTGTCCACCTCAGCGTCCTGTTCCAGCAGACACACACACAGACAAAGATCCCCAATATAGCCTTAATAAACTGTTGGGGCAAGTGCTGTCAGTGAGCACCTATGAAGGCCGGCAAGGCGCACATATATGGACACACATACACATTCAGACATACACACAAATACACTCAGTAATACACAACTAAGACAAAGATTCTCTGTATAGCCTTAAAAGACTGTTGGGGAAAGTGCTGTATAGCAGGCGGCACCTATGAAGGCCGGCATGGCACACGAGGGGGTGGGGGGTGGCCAGCACCACGCCCGGCTGCCTTTTTGCTTCAACTTCGCACCATGCACAGTCCACATTTTTTATAAGACCGAGTCGACTTAAGGGAAGAAATTCAAAGAACTGTGAGTAAATCCCACCACACATGCGTGTGTGTGTGCGTACGTACGTACCGCCATCTGACAATATCTCGCAGCACCACGTCTTAAACACCTAATAAGCCCTGGACAGATCGTCCATGCAGACACAATATGAACCAATCAGTCCTGATATTCCGGGCTAATGGGGGTTGGGGGCCGCACAGATAGATCACCAACACGGAGGTGGTAAATTGGCTCTCACAATAACAACTTCAACTGGTAACACCGCACCCGACAGGCGGCATTCGCTCTTTCCTCCCGTAGAGAAAGAGAGATGGAGAGGACGAGTCAGCGGCGCCAAGAGGAGGGGCCACAGCTGTGTGGGAAAGCAGCAGCAGCTACATAGAGTTCATAATAAAGGTGTTTCAGGTTAGATCGCGTTATTTATTAATGTGTCGTAACCCTCCACCACCCGACACGGCCAAACAGTAAAAAAAGTGTCACGTTTTCAAAAGACAAATAGTTCACTATTTTAGCCCACCGGTGTGTTGAAGAGTGATTCAACATCATTTACAATTTTTGAGTACGATGTTTCGCTGGTAATTACATCCAGCATCATTGGGAAATTCGCCAGAATGGTGAAGCCCTCCATCTGTTCCCAGTCTTAAATAGAGCAGCAGCAGGGTGACGTCATCATTTAACCCAATTAGGTGCAGTGATTTGAGGCGGGGAGGGTATTATAATTATATAATAGCTTGGTAATCATTCAATTTTGTTCATTAGTATTTATTTCCCCTATAAGGAATTGTAATTGTAATATATATTTTATTTAATAATACGCTTCCAGGCCGCACTAAGCCTGTAGCTGTCAGAGCGATTAAAGTTATTTGTATTTCTCTCAATTTCAATGGATTATCTAATTAGTCTTGGCCAGAAATAATTTGTTTTACACAACACTTCAACGGTATCAAAATCAATTGAGTGTCCTTGTTGAGAAATATGTTCCACCACTACCGACAGTTGTGTTTGAGATAATTTAATGTTCCTTTGGTGTTCTTTTAGTCTTATGCTGATGTTTCATCCCGTCTGACCAATATAGCATCTGCCACATAAACAATTAATCCGATATACACCTTCTGTTAGTAATTTAGGTAATTCGTCTTTAGGGCAAGAGACTAGTTTTTGAATTTTGTATACTGTACCAAATCTTACTTTAATGTCTTGCTTTTGCAAAACACGGGCTAATTTGTCAGTTACTCCTGAGAAATATGGTATTTTGATTGTTTCAACAATCTGATCGCTTTCAGCAGTGTTGCTTTGCGTTCGTGATTTGGCAGTCAGTGCTCTGTTAATTTGAGCATTATTGTAGCCATTTTGTCTTACTGCTTCTTTAACATTAATCTCTCTCACTAGACTTTCACGATCTGATACTGTTTTAGCCCGATGTATGAGTGTCTTGATAAGAGAGGATTTCTGAGCTGGGTGATGATCTGAATCTGCATTCACATAGGCATCAGTGTGTGTTCGCTTTCGGTAAACGCTGTGCGTTATTTTGTCATTTAGACCATGTCCAAGCAAAATATCTAGGAATGGGAGTGAACTGGACGGCCGGGTTTTGTGCATTGAGATGATTGAGAAAACCATTAAGTGTATCTTTACCATGTGGCCAGACAACCAACGTGTCATCAACATATCTAAACCAAAAAGATGGGTTTAATGTACTCGAGGAAAGTGCTCTTGTTTAAAAGTTTTCCATGTATAACTGATTTTGATAACATGTGTTAAACCAGCTATATGGTATGTATGTATGTTGAACTTCTTTCACGCCGTACGTACCTCACCTTGCTAATCAGAGGTGTGGGGGAAGTACAACCAAACACGACCAACGATTGCCCAAGCTCTGCGGTCCTCTATATATTGAGGTGGTTTCAGCCAAATAATGAATGTTTATACGTGCGGGAGAAGAAAACCCCACGCGTGCCAGGGTGGGGGGGAACACTTTGCTGTACTGCCATCTCCTGGCAAGGCAGAGGATATGGCGAGTTGGAGCAGAGTGGCGGTGTGATGAGGGTGGGAGCAGCGTGGCGGTGTGATGAGAGTGAAGCAGCGTGGCGGTGTGATGAAAGTGGGGGCAGAGTGGCGGTGTGATGGGAGTGGGAGCAGAGTGGCAGTGTGATGAGGGTGGGAGCAGCGTGGCAGTGTGATGGGAGTGGGAGCAGAGTGGCGGTGTGATGAGGGTGGGAGCAGCGTGGCGGTGTGATGAGAGTGGAGCAGCGTGGTGGTGTGATGGGAGTGGGAGCAGAGTGGCGGTGTGATGAGGGTGGGAGCAGCGTGGCGGTGTGATGAGAGTGGAGCAGCGTGGTGGTGTGATGGGAGTGGGAGCAGAGTGGCGGTGTGATGAGGGTGGGAGCAGCGTGGCGGTGTGATGAGAGTGGAGCAGCGTGGTGGTGTGATGAGAGTGGAGCAGCGTGGTGGTGTGATGGGAGTGGGAGCAGCGTGGTGGTGTGATGAGGGTGGGAGCAGCGTGGTGGTGTGATGAGAGTGGAGCAGCGTGGTGGTGTGATGGGAGTGGGAGCAGAGTGGCGGTGTGATGGGAGTGGGAGCAGCGTGGTGGTGTGATGGGAGTGGGAGCAGCGTGGCGGTGTGATGAGGGTGGGAGCAGCGTGGTGGTGTGATGAGAGTGGAGCAGCGTGGTGGTGTGATGAGGGTGGGAGCAGCGTGGTGGTGTGATGAGAGTGGAGCAGCGTGGTGGTGTGATGGGAGTGGGAGCAGCGTGGCGGTGTGATGAGAGTGGGAGCAGCGTGGTGGTGTGATGAGAGTGGAGCAGAGTGGTGGTGTGATGGGAGTGGGGGCAGAGTGGCGGTGTGATGAGAGTGGAGCAGAGTGGCGGTGTGATGAGGGTGGGAGCAGCGTGGCAGTGTGATGAGAGTGGAGCAGCGTGGTGGTGTGATGAGGGTGGGAGCAGCGTGGTGGTGTGATGAGAGTGGAGCAGAGTGGCGGTGTGATGAGAGTGGAGCAGCGTGGTGGTGTGATGAGGGTGGGAGCAGCGTGGTGGTGTGATGAGAGTGGAGCAGAGTGGCGGTGTGATGAGGGTGGGAGCAGCGTGGTGGTGTGATGAGAGTGGAGCAGAGTGGCGGTGTGATGAGAGTGGGAGCAGCGTGGTGGTGTGATGAGAGTGGGAGCAGCGTGGCGGTGTGATGAGAGTGGGAGCAGCGTGGTGGTGTGATGGGAGTGGGGGCAGAGTGGCGGTGTGATGAGAGTGGAGCAGAGTGGCGGTGTGATGAGGGTGGGAGCAGCGTGGCAGTGTGATGAAAGTGGAGCAGCGTGACGGTGTGATGAGAGTGGGAGCAGCGTGGCGGTGTGATGAGAGTGGAGCAGAGTGGCGGTGTGATGAGGGTGGGAGCAGCGTGGTGGTGTGATGAGAGTGGAGCAGCGTGGCGGTGTGATGAGAGTGGGGGCAGAGTGGCGGTGTGATGGGAGTGGGAGCAGCGTGGTGGTGTGATGGGAGTGGGAGCAGAGTGGCGGTGTGATGAGGGTGGGGGCAGAGTGGCGGTGTGATGAGGGTGGGAGCAGCGTGGCGGTGTGATGAGAGTGGAGCAGCGTGGTGGTGTGATGGGAGTGGGAGCAGCGTGAAGGTGTGATGAGAGTGGGAGCAGCGTGGTGGTGTGATGGGAGTGGGAGCAGAGTGGCGGTGTGATGAGGGTGGGGGCAGAGTGGCGGTATGATGAGGGTGGGAGCAGCGTGGCGGTGTGATGAGAGTGGAGCAGCGTGGTGGTGTGATGAGTGTGGGAGCAGCGTGGTGGTGTGATGGGAGTGGAGCAGCGTGAAGGTGTGATGAGGGTGGGAGCAGCGTGGCGGTGTGATGAGCGTCGCGCGCACCTTGTACTGGATGCGCTGGTACACGCGACTGCTGTTGTCGAGCACGGTGAACGCTTGGCTCGACGTCGTCTCTCCGCCGAACAAGATGCTGAGGTCACCCCGCTGCCACTTCATGTCGCTGAAATCGATCAGCGTCGTGTCCATCCTAGAACGGGTTACACGTTTACACGCGCTCGACGCGTTCACACGTTCTCGATGCGTTTACACGCTTGACTCGTCTGTGACGTGTCCTTCCCTCGCAGTGGGAGCAGCGTCGCGGTTGTGATTATCACGGTTGGCTACATACACAAGTGGCCCAGCCGGCAGCACGTTCGCCGATCGTCGCAGAGGCTCACGGTTCGAATCAGGCAGACCGCCCCAGTTAACACTGCGGCGGTGCGTACAAACCGTATTTGCGGCCCCCTTCGCTCACGGCGGGATGTCAAACATCCTGGGACGTCACCCGAAGGGGCGTAGGCCGTCGTGTGCCGGCGTCACGGTGGTCAGAATTATCCAGAGTTTGAAAAAAATTACACTGCATATTATTCAAGGGGGAAACCGCACCCCCCTGCTTCGAAAAAATAACTTAGCAGGGACCCTCGTGAAAGAGTCTTGAGTGGGTGAACGAAATGTGACGACGACCACGGATGCTCGCGCACCTTATGTTGCTTCCGTGCTTGTAGACCTTGCACGTATCCGACGGCAGCATTCGGGACACGAGTGGCACTGCAGGAGTCATGGAACGCGCCATTACTCTCACGAACACACAATCACACGGACAGACAATCGCATGGACAATCGCACGAACATGCAATCGCACCAACACACAATCGTACCAACAGGCAATCGCACCGGCGCACAATCTCACCAACACACAATTGCATGAACAGACAATCGCTAACGAATGCACAATTGCACAAGCATACATTTAGCAAAAAAAAACAGACAGGCGTGCACACAAACATGCAATTACATAAATACACATTTCACGCAATTGTCCAAACACACAATTACACCAAATACAATAACGCAAACGCACAAATATAAAAAGACAAAGGTCCCCCTGTAGCCTTTAACAGACTGGTGAGGCAAGTGCTGTGAGTTGGTGGGTGGCCAGCACCATAACCGACCACCTTTGTGTCCCCAATGCTGATGCTTAACACACCACACCAGGTACTCCTTTAAGGTCAGGTCGACCTAGGGGAGACCCAGGACCGGTTCAGATATTCATCACCAATGTTAGCTGCGAATCAAACTCAAGTTGCCGGGTTCCTAACGTAGCACGCTGCGCCACTACTCCCCAATCACACAATCATATACCAATACCAATGCCCGCCATTCGCCATTAAGTGACGTTCACGTCACCACGGCGCCTGTGCCAGGCCAGGTGCACAATCATATACACGCAACAACACGTGCACGCACAACCACACGAGCACACGCGAGTCTGCACAAACACGCAATCAAAACATATATATGCACGCTTATGATGTGAAGTACTCCAAGTCACAAACAAATCACGTGCACCTCAAGCTCCGTGTGATCTTTGTTCGATCTTTTCAATCCACATGCCAATATTGGGCCAACGTTGGTCTAACGTTGGTCTCATGTTGGCCCAACGATCCGTGTTTACTGGGTTCTCACCCCAGCTCTGGAAGTCCCAGTGAACCTCCAGGTAAAAGTCTCCGAGCTGGAAACACAATATTCACAACATTGCGTCAATTCTATCAACATCATCGTTATCATCGTTATCATCATCACAGTAATTATCTATTTACCCATGCAAGCCACACATGCTTTCAGATGCGCTTCTGCGGCCGTCTGGAATGCTCTTCCTTCCAATATTATAAAGCCACTGGTGCTAGGCATTTTTTTATAAACTAGATTGAAAACTAATTTATTTCTAACTGCTTTTTGTGTTAAGTTTGTTGTCCTTCACCCGCACCTCCGATTAGCACGGTTGGCTACGTACGGTACAAAAAAATTTCAACATACATACATACATAGAGACAGTGCGTGTGTGGAGACAGTGCGGATGTAGAGACAGTGCGGGTGCAGGAACAGTACGTGGGCCAATGGTCACGAGGGGTAATTACAGAGGGGAACCATCTGGGAAGTTCGGGAACGTGCTAGAGGATTCGAGAAAGAAGGTGTGGCCTGGGGCGGAGTGAGGGCCATGCCGGGAATAAAAAGGGGCGAGAGGCGAAGTTCAGGGCTGCCGTGGGATCGGCGTCGACTGTCTTCACGCTATCGCCGTCTTGGGGCCGTCGGTGTCTTCGCGTCGTCGCTACTTGTGTGCCATCCCTGACCAAGTTATCTATGTGCCATCCCTGACCAAGTTATCTGTGTGTCATTCCTCGCCAAGTTATCTGTGTGCCATCCCTGACCAAGTTATCTGTGCGTCATTCCTCGCCAAGTTATTTGCGTGAAATGCCCTAAATAATCAATAAAGAAACCTCTACAGTTCAATTGTCCGAGAGTCACGACACATACAAACAACACGGATTCGAATCCAGGATCTCAGAGGTGAATGTCTGGTGCTTAAAAACTGTTTTATCCCCCCCCTGAGGCACCGGACCTTTTAACCAGCCCTGGAGCTCACAGTGTTGCCTGTACACACGCCTCCTCTGTGCCTAGCTCCGATTAGCACGGTTGGCTACGTACGACGTACACGCGTACGTACGGATACACCGAGTCGAGAAACTCTCTCTCAGGCGTGCCCTGCTACGTGGGGACGTTGCAACATAGGGGAGGAGGCCCAGGACCAGTCCAGATAATCGTCGCCGGTGTTGGTGGTGGCCGTGAGCAAAACACAGCGGCTTTGTGCCACAGGAATGGCGCGAATTCCACACGCAGGGGTGGCGTGTGTTCACTCGCATGTCGTTCACGTGTGCGTGTCGTTCACGTGTCGTTCACGTGTCGTTCACGTGTTGTTCACGTGCTGCTGCAGCTGCCCTTGCTCATTCTCACTTCCTGCATGGCCTTGAGGAGGCGAGGCCTGCGGATTTCTGCGCTCTCCCGCGACTGCATCTTGTACTTCCTCACGAGCGACGCGACTGAAGTGTGGCGGATGGCGGCAAGGGGGAAGGGGGTGGCGGGGGCAGGTCGGGGTTGGGGGGTGATTCAGAGAGAAAGAGACACAGCGACAACCAGGGACTCTACATTTCAGCCACGAAATTTTGACGAAAATATTTGAAAATTACCCGAGCGCTGATCATCGCGACGAAATGTGCAGTGGGCATCTACGGGCGATCTGCCCATGAATCGTGATCATGATGATGAGGATCATCGCGACAAGATGATACTTTTGCGGAAGCTCCGACGATCGCAGGGTCTCGTGGCGTGCAATGGACCATCGTGTCGCCACGGCGACGGCGCGGCGACCAAAGCACTCGCCACGATTTTGCTGCGTGTGACGTCCTTATTATTGTGTTGTTGTCAATGTTTGTTATTATTGTTGTGGCATTGTTGTGTTGTTATTCTTTGTTATTATTAGTGCGTTGTGCATTGTTGTGTTGTTGTTGTGCTGTTATTATGATGTCATGTTGTTATTGTGTTGTTGTTATTGGTGTTGTTGAGTTGATGCTGTTGTGTTGCTGTGTGGTTATGGTTGTGTTATTTGTTGTACGTATGTATGTTGAACTTCTTTTGCACCGTACGTAGCCAACCGTGCTCATCGGAGGTGCAGGGGAAGGACAACAATTTGGTATTGTTGTTGCTGTTGTTGTGTCGTCGTGTTGTTACGTGCCGTTGTCATTGTGTTGTCGTGTTGCTGTTAATGGCGTTGTTGATGTTGTAGTGTTGCTGTGTTGTTATTGTTATATTGTTTTTGTGTTGTTGTTATTGTGTTTTGGCTTCTCACTCGTTTGCCGATGTCCCAGGCTCACGGCCTCGGCCAGGGGACTCCATCCCTGTGCGTTCCGGGACTTGACCGGAGCGTTGTGAGCCAGCAGAACCCTCGTGCAGTCTACACCACCACCAACACAACCACAAAGACAAAAATCTCGCGTGTAGCCTCGAATGTTAGGGCAAGTGCTGCCAGCGAGCACTAATAAAGGCCGGCACGGCGCACGAGCGGATGGTGTGGCCAGCACCACGCGCGGTTCATATATTCATCACTTGTGTTGGCCATGAGCGGGAATTGAACTCGGGTCGCCAGGTTCGTAGTGCAGCGTAGTGCTAACCACTACACACATACACATCACACACGCACATCACACACACACACCGCACACGCACATCACACACACATACCGCACACGCACATCACACACACACACCGCACACGCAAACATCACACGTTGTCCTGCCTGCCCCCTAGGGCTTTAATCAGTGCTGACCCCCCCCCCCACACTGCGTCCGAGCGTCAGTGGCTCGCCAATGCTTTATAGACCGCGGCGGAGCAGCGCGTTGCTTAGCAACCGCCATCACCTAGCAACCGGCGCAACCGGGCAATATGTAACCCGGCCCCTACGTCACCAAGGAGATGGAGGTGTGGGGGGGCTCTAGCCAGCCCCCACAGTGTGGCACGTGGGTGGGTGCACCTAGTCTGGTACGAGTGGCCATGACACGAACTTGAAAGGTTAATTGTGTGTATGTGTACGTCTATGGGTACGCTTATGTATGCGAGTGTGTATGAGTGTGTCTGGGTATGTGTCTGTGTGTGGGAGCGGTATAGGGAGCGGCGGTGTAGCGGTTAGCGCTACGCTGCGTTACGCTGCGCTACGAACCCGGCGACCCGCGTTCGATTCTCGCTCACGGCCAACACCGGTGACGATTATCTGAACCGGTCCGGGGCCTTCCCTAGGTCGACTCAGCCTCAAACGAGTACCTGGTGCGATGTGTAAACATTGCCACTGGGGAGACAAAGGCGGCTGGGCGTGTGCCGTGCTAGCCTTCATAGGTGCTTGCTAACAGCACTTGCTGCAACAGTCTGTTAAGGCTATATGGGGGATCTTTGTCTATGTGCATGTACCTAGCATGGCACAAGCGACGTGTGAGGATGTGATGTTGGCTTTGTGTGTGTATCCAGGAGCGGAGGAGTCTATGCTGCACGAGGCCTCTAATCCAGCACTCGAGGCAGCGAGGGTTGGTGGCTCACACTATGAAATTCACTTCCCGTGGTCTCAAGGTGCAACTAGACTGGCACAAGTGCTGTGATGACATGACCGCCACTTCGTGGCGAATGTTGTAAGCACGCATAGTGGCGGAGCGGTTAGCGCAGTGCGCTACAAACTCCGTCATCCGAGTTCGATTCCCGCCCGCGGCTAACGTCAGCTGCCAGTGACATTTTAACTTGTCGTGTTTAACAACAGTATCAGCACTCGAGAGACAAAGGCGGACGGGCATGATTTCAGCCACACCACCACATCATGTAGTGGTGACCTTAATAGGTGCTCACTAACTAGCACTTGCCCAAACAGTTAATGCGTTTATATCTTTCTATGTGGGAATATCGTTTTTATTACGGTGGTATGTATTTGAAACTGGGCCTGCGCATCCACTAGGTTAACTCAGCCTAAAATGAGCACCAAGTAGCATAGTCCACGAATGAATGTCGGCAGTAGGAAGACAAAGGTGGCCAGGCATGTGTGGTGCTGGCTGCACAAACAACTCAACCACACGCAGCTCAACCACCAACAACTCAACCACCAACAGCTCAACCACCAAGAACTCAACCACCAAAAACTCAACCACCAACAACTCAACCACCAACAACTCAACCACCAACAACTCAACCACCAACAACTCAACCACCAACAACTCAACCACCAACAACTCAACCACCAACAGCTCAACCACCAAGAACTCAACCACCAAAAACTCAACCACCAACAACTCAACCACCAACAACTCAACCACCAACAACTCAACCACCAACAACTCAACCACCAACAACTCAACCACCAACATCTCAACCACCAACAACTCAACCACCAAAAACTCAACCACCAACAACTCAACCAGCAACAACTCAACCACCAACAACTCAACCACCAAAAACTCAACCACCAACAACTCAACCACCAACAACTCAACCACCAACAACTCAACCACCAACAACTCAACCACCAACAACTCAACCACCAACAACTCAACCACCAACAGCTCAACCACCAAGAACTCAACCACCAAAAACTCAACCACCAACAACTCAACCACCAACAACTCAACCACCAACAACTCAACCACCAACAACTCAACCACCAACAACTCAACCACCAACATCTCAACCACCAACAACTCAACCACCAAAAACTCAACCACCAACAACTCAACCAGCAACAACTCAACCACCAACAACTCAACCACCAAAAACTCAACCACCAACAACTCAACCGCACACAGCTCAACCGCACACAGCTACACGCACAGCAGAGACTTGGAACGTTCAGCAGCAGCACCCACCTCGATTGCCCAGCATCACGGCGACGTGCAGGGCAGTGTTTCCTAACCACAAACACAAACGTGGTCGCATGTTAGTCGCGTGTTAGCTGCGTGTTGGCCGCATATTAGCAACGGTGAAAGGAACACAATCTCCAGTTGCGACGCCGCATCGCGGTTGTTACCGCGCGGCCGTTCGGCAATTGCTGACGACGTTTCCACTCCACGTGCCTGGAAGCTTCTTCAGAAAACTCCAGAAGCCCCCCGGCCGGCACGTGGTTGAGAAACGTCGGACATCTTGGCCGTATGACATGCGGAGGACAGCCTGGGTTACGCGCCGGACAGCGCCTGCGACAGCAGTGCAACCATGGACACCGCTACGCGCCGAGATTGTGCGCTGACACATGCTAATGTGTTGAGAGTTAATATCGTGATAACATATGATGTTAACACAATTGCGAGCGTATTCATTTAGCGCGGTGAGTCAGGCTCCCTTCGATGCGTCCGTCGTACATTAACACAACGACGTTAACACAATGAATACGTTTAGAATTGTGTTCATGTCGTACAATAACACAATTTCTAACCGTATCAATCTGTGTACATGAAGAAAAAAACTAAAATCAATTTACCATCCGTCTCCACTTTCATCCATTACTGTATCTCAGAAGTCGCTTTTGTTTATTTTATTTAAATCCTTTCCCTGATGTATTTAGTTTGCGCCGTTGGTGGTGTCGTGGCTTCTTCACACGGGACAGAGGAATCGGTTTGTAAATCAACAGAGAGCAGTGCACCACCACCATGCGTGGCCCACGAGTGACCTCCCTCATCCTTCACACGAGTAGGGGGAGCCCCCCCTTCACCTCCCGCCCCCACCCCCCCACCACACACTCTGCTATGGGGGGTGTGTTTTTATTCTCAGGGGTGGAATTAAGCCAACTCAAGTGATTATTAACAAATATATGTTATTTGTTTTTGTGTGCAGTCATTGCTGACCGGGCTGAAACCATAAACTCACTGTTACACTTGGCAACCCAGTTAAGTAACGCCTACAGTCTATGAGCATCTATCTATGTCAGCCTGTAGGTCTCCGTGTATATCTATGGGTCTCAGGTCAAGTCGGATTTAAATGATTAACTGGTGCGGTGTGTAAACATCGCCACTGGGGAGACAAATGCAGTCGGGTGTAGTGCTGGCCACCCACCCCCTCGTGTGACGTGCCGACCTTCATAGGTGCTCCCTAACATCACTTGCCCCAAAGAGTCTGTTGAGGCAATACGGGGGATCTTTGTCTATGGGTCTCTGTGCGAGTCATCGGTGACCAGGCTGAGCCCATCAACTCGCTGCACTTGAGACCGCGGTGCTCTCGCTGTGGCCATGCAGCCGAAACCCGGATTGGAAACCAGGCTACGACAGCGGTGCTAGCTCAGCATCTCTGACCTCTGAGCCACCTGGCCGGTTCTCTTCGAAGCATAGCGCTCAGCAAATTTGGGTGCGCTATTTATAGAACCACAGCTGGCTGTGGCTAACCCAATGGGGGTTTCATAGTGGGTAAGTCAAACGAGCTGAGCTCGCACCACACTGAGCGGTGATCTTGGGTTCAAACGCCCCGTGAATAAACCAGGTTCTCTCGTGTACCCGAGTTGATGGTCTCTGCCTGGTCGTCCATCACCCACATAGGGGCCCAGAGACTTACATAGAGACCCACAGACTCACATAGAAACCCATAGGACTCACATACAGACTGATAGACTGAGCTCTGATTAAACTGGGTTCTCTAGTATATGGGATTTGGTCCTTATATATAATGAATGTACAGCATTGTGGGATGCCGTTGGCATGAATGGCACCTTGATAAAAATGAAAGTACAGTAAAACCTTCGATTGCGAGCATAATTCGTTCCGGAAACGTGCTTGTAATCCAAAGCACTCGTATATCAAAGCGAATTTCCCCATAATAAATAATGGAAACTCAGATGATTCGTTCCACAACCCAAAAATATTCATGTAAAAATTATACTGGTAGGAACCTCCTGGTTACACCAGCTCACGGAATTATTGTGTCCTTCCGTCGTCCATCCAAAAATGGGAGGGGTGGGGTTGGGTGGAGAGGGGAGGGTGGGGAGGGGCTGGGTGGGGAGGGTGGGGAGGGGCTGGGTGGGGAGGGGAGGGTGGGGAGGGGCTGGGTGGGGAGGGTGGGGCTGGGTGGGGGAGGGGTGGGGCTGGGTGGGGAGGGGCTGGTCACCCCGTGGTGCCCTTATAAAACTCAACGTTTAACCTACTCACGCCGGCTTGTGCCCACCCTCACAGTCGGGCATATTTGCGGAATACACCACGCCGCCGTTGACCCTGGCCATTGACCGAGCAACCCAACGTTCCTACCAGCTCCCTCCGCAGGAATGTGTTTAATACAAAATACCTTTTTATATTTTTATTATTTAAATTTTGTATAAAGTAATCAAATGTATTAATTACATTTAATCGTGGCTGGTGTGAGGGAGACGAGAGAGAGGAGAGGAGGAGGGGGCCTATTGTTGCAGTACAGTTACTAAAGAACAGTCACTACACTTGGACAAAAAAAATGCTTTACGCACACACACGTGGCCACAACACGATAGTAAACAGTATACGCTCACACGGATGTTGACTATACGAGTGAGGCACGCCGACTGAGACCGAGCATGGGAGATAATTACCCACAATCCCGCAGCGAGAGAGAGAGAAGAACCATCGGCTCAGTTGTGATCACGTGACGCTCGGCAGACAAAGCGTATACTGTACCTACTACTCGTATTGCAAGACCTCGCTCGTTTATCAAGTTAAAATTCAGTTAAAATATCAAAAAATATTGCTCGTCTTGCAAAACACTCACAGATCAAGTTACTCACAATTCAAGGTTTTACTGTATTTTGTATTTTTTTTTTATCATCTATGGATCTCTATATAGATCTATGTAACCACAATGTCCCATAACTGCCACCACTTCTAACCGATCTTGGCATGTGGTCTTCTGTGTAACAGAGCCACTTAGCTCAAAGAGGCCTCACCGGCTTCATATAATAAAACTAAGACTAAACTATTTTGTATTTCACCAGGTAAGGCCCACTGAGCTATACAGCTTCAAATAATCGCCCAACGAAATGGCTTATCACGTGGAAATTTATAGCAGCCAAATTCTCTAAACGCATGTTTCTAAATGTGGAGGGGAAAGCTGGAACACCCGGAGAAAAATCCAAGCGGCCACGGGGGAAAAAAAAGACATGCAAACTCCAATATATACAGCAAGCGTCAGGGTCGGGATCGACCCCACGACCTCCTGTATACCAGGCAAGGTAGTTAACATCTCGCCACCGCGGCAGTCCGAGTCTGAGGTCACCAGGTCGTAGCGCCGTGCAGTAACTACTGTGCCCACCGTCATTTTTTAAATTAAATAATAATTAAACAATCGTAAAATCACTTGGCTTCTCCATTCATTTGGCTTCTGGCAGCTGCCATTATTGTCACCCTGGGGGGTGGTCGCGTTCGTTTTCTCCGCCCGCGTCGAAGGTCGAACCGCGCCGCATGTGACCCGGAGCGCGGTTTAACAACGATGTGGGCGCGTGACGAGCCGCGTCGTTCCGTTTCCCACCCGTGATGCCGTTAGCGAGATGAGTGGTGAACCTTTAACTTATCCGTGCCCCCCCCCCCAAAATAATTTTTAAACACGTCCAGCCACAATAACTTCGCTTAAATATTTAAGACGCAATTTCACAACTTTTTTGTGTTTTTTAACACCACATATACATCTGTTAGGGTCCGCTGCCACAGTAGTAGCGTAACAGACTAACAGCGCACTGGACTTGGTGGCACTGTGCGAGTCTACTGCGCACAATTATTTTCTTAACGATGCGACCACAGATAACGTCACGCGCCGGAGGAGAAGCTCTGCCTCAGCAAATGCACCGACGTCTCTTTTGTGAAGGAAACCGACGACGGAACTGAGTCGGCAGCCGCTTAAAATCGCGAGTACCCCACGCGGAATTCGCTAGACGTCAGCAGCAAAAGTCTCTTGCTTATTTAGCTGAAAATATATTTTAAAATGTGTGTATATATGCGTAAAAAAATATTTACCCAGAATTTATCAGTAGATTACGATTATTACAAAATGAATTTTTCCTCCGCAGATTATTCTCCAACAGTGTGTTATGTCAACACGTGAAGGCACTTCCATTGCAGCTATCCGTGGATGATCTCGCGTCAGAGTGCGGCCGCGGAAGATCACTTCACAGAACTACTGCCAAAGTCGCTTCCGATGTGCCTCTTTAACCGCACCAGCTTGAGTCCGAATACAGTCGTGCCTGCTACTCCACTGCTAGACAGGAAACTCCTCCCTAAGCCGTTTGGGGCTTATTTGACCGTACTTCATCACGCTGGTCAGACGTGGACATCTTGGTCATTTGGAACTATGCCAAGCGTCGTCAGGGAGTTAAGAAAACAATATCCAGGCCTCGAAATAAGAATCTGGGAAGCGAGACTCACGACACAGACTCGGTCAATACGCTGCGGAACCCACCCAGAAATCTATTCTGAATCCACATCTCGACACGTGTGAATCACCACAACCTTGTGGGAGTGTGGTGGGTTTGATTCGTGATTCACATCTCCCCCACGTAGGTGTTTAATTGGCACATGTGTGTGTGTATATATATATACATTTTACTGGTAGGAACCTCCTGGTTTCACCAGCCCACAGGGGATTATTGTGTCCGTCCGTCCGTCCGTCGTGCATCCAAAAATGGGAGGGGTGGGGCTGGGTGGAGAGGGGAGGGTGGGGAGGGGCTGGGTGGGGAGGGGAAGGTGGGAAGGGGCTGGGTGGGGAGGGGCTGGGTGGGGTGGGTGGGGCTGGGTGGGGTGGGTGGGGCTGGGTGGGGAGGGGAGGGGAGGATGGGGAGGGGCTGGTCACCCCGTGGTGCCCTTATAAAACTCAATGTTTAACCTACTCACGCCGGCTTGTGCCCGCCCTCACAGTCGGGCATATTTGCGGAATACACCACGCCGCCGTTGACCCTGGCCATTGACCGAGCAAC